CTCGCAGCAGGTTTGCCCGCCGCAGAAGCAGGACATCCAGCTGACAAAGATGCAGGAGCGTCTGCTGAAGAAGCTCGGCTCGAATGCCTATCCCTTCGTGATGCAGATGCCGCCCAGTTCCCCGGCCTCGGTGGTGCTGCAGCAGAAGGCCAGCGACGAGAGCCAGCCCTGTGGCGTCCAGTACTTTGTGAAGATCTTCACCGGTGACAGCGACTGCGACAGGTCGCATCGCCGCAGCACCATCAATCTGGGCATCCGCAAGGTGCAGTATGCCCCCACCAAGCAGGGCATCCAGCCCTGCACTGTGGTCCGAAAGGACTTCCTCCTGTCGCCCGGAGAACTGGAGCTGGAGGTGACTCTGGACAAGCAGCTGTACCATCACGGGGAGAAGATTTCGGTCAACATTTGTGTGCGCAACAACTCCAATAAGGTTGTGAAAAAGGTCAAGGCCATGGTGCAGCAGGGCGTGGATGTGGTGCTCTTCCAGAATGGACAGTTCCGCAATACGATTGCCTTCATGGAGACGAGCGAGGGCTGCCCCCTGAATCCGGGCTCCAGTCTCCAGAAAGTCATGTACCTGGTGCCCACTCTGGTGGCCAACTGTGATCGGGCAGGCATTGCCGTGGAGGGTGATATCAAGCGCAAGGACACAGCCTTGGCATCGACCACACTGTGAGTACAGAGATGGGATAGCCTGAATGAATATTTGTATATATTAAAGGATTATCTTTCTCCCTGCAGCATTGCCAGTCAGGATGCTAGGGATGCCTTTGGCATAATCGTCTCGTACGCTGTGAAAGTCAAACTCTTCTTGGGCGCCCTGGGCGGCGAGCTGTGCGCCGAGCTACCTTTCATTCTGATGCACCCAAAGGTGAGTGAGACTCACAATAAATTATTTAAAATATATTTTAAATTGTGTTCCTTACAGCCCAACCGAAAGGCGCTGGAAGCTGAGGGCTCTGTTGATGCCTAAACGGAAAATGATTACCTCAAAATGCGTATTTCTATATGTTTAACCGATGTTTGTAGGCCTTTGTAAAAGCTGATGTTGCTGATAATGTTCTGAACTGCAGTCGTCGTACTCTTCCTATATAGCAAAATCAATATTTAAATATGTGTGTATGTGTACTATAAATATAACTCTCAACAAACCATTAAATATGGACAAAAGATACCTGAACCGAGCAGATCATTGGTCTTATGAGCTTATTAAATTCCCAAGCCAAAATCCCACACACTCCCTGAGAGCAAAATGCATTCATTAATGCAGTTCCCAATGCTAAGTCTCTCCAGATTATGTATTTATTGAAGTGCAATGGGGAAATCAAGTATTATACTTGATACAAGAAGCTTACAGTGGGGCTTAGTTTTGTGGCAAGTAAGTAATTTCAATTATTTCCAAACTCAGAGAAAATTAATACAGAAATGAATGCTGAGCAAGCAGTCTAGAAGATAGCAAATGTGCGGTATTTGTGTGTGTATTTCCCTGCAGAATGCGGAACTCATTAGTGTTTTAGTTTATATTCTGGATCTCTTGAACTCAGTTAATGTTATAATAACTGACGGCTTTTCTTGCATCAACTTAATTCCGTACTTCCCTGCAGCATCCTTTGAGGCACTTTCATACGGAGACACAGCTTCAACAGCTCTCATTGCCTGCGCATCAAACATTTTCCAGTTGCTAAATGCTTTTGGCTTTTGGCGATTTTAATTAGCTGCAGCGATTTACGGTAGTTGCAAGTATCACGTGTATTTTTGCTCGCACATCGTGTGCAAATTGTGGCCAAAATATGTGTGTCTGTGTCTGTGTCTGTGTCGTCGAGCACTTTGACGAGTCAATGAGTTGGTACAACTCACACTGGATTCAAACAAATTTTGCAAATGGATTTCGCACTGCCTTAATCGACCAGTACTTTGATAAGTAGATTAGATTATTCTCGTTAATCGGATTGAACTTTATGGCACTTTACAAGTGTGATAGGAAAAGGGCATTCAAACGTTAAGTGTCACAAGCGATAAGATGGCGCGAACTCAATGTGGAAATAGTTGACCGTAACCAACTAGTTTTGATTTGTTTACAAATGGGTTAGTAATTGGTAGTACCCTAATAGAATACAAGGGAAAAATGTTCAGAAAACGAATATCGGGGAATTCCTTGACCATTTATAGACTGCACTGAAATAGAAATATTTCCATACATTATTTACCATATTTCACCAGGTGCTCCAATAACGCTATAGTCTGCACTTATGAAGGTCTTGCAGTGCGGTTAACAGCCACTTCAATTGGGTGCAAACCAAACAAAACGAATATCAATATGGCAGACAGGCTGATTAGGGAACTAGTTTGTTGAGAAGGGGATAATCTAGCTGACGAACGATGAATAAAGACGGTGGTTCGTATCGATCGTCTGGCATTCAGCTGGCAGTCTTTGTTTCGCCTCCATCGATATGTGCTGTCGTTGCTGTGGTGTGACCCAACAGAAGGTATGGGTTTTCGGCACAGGGACACTGTTGGCCATATCAGGACTCTTGTCCGTAATATGGGGACCTAGCTTTATGGACTCGCAGATAATGAAGGTAACCTGGAAACTTAAAGAACAGTTTGGACAGCGCTTTACGTCAAATATCTTACAGGCATTGCCACTAACGCCCAACTCAAAGACCTTCGAAAAGTGGGAGGAGCTGCCCATTCCCGTATACCTTCATATGTATCTTTGGAACTGGACTAACGCTGCCGATGTCAAGGCCAATGCTGTGAAGCCCATTTTCGAGCAATTGGGTCCGTATGTCTACCGGGAGGAGCGCAAGAAAATGGACTTGGAGTGGCACGCTAATGGCACAGTTACCTTTAACCCCAGACGTATTTGGTACTGGGAGGAGGAGATGTCGGGAGGAAAGCAAACAGATATTATCACTGGGCCACATCTGCCATCTATCGTGAGTCGAGCTTGAGATATCTCCACCAAATATCGTTGCTAAAATGAAAGTGTTTTCCAGGCTGCTGCCACTTCCATGAAGGACAGTAACGCGATTCTCAAATTTGCGTTCAATCAAGCACTCAATGCGAATGGCGGAGCTCTGTACACCACCCACACCGCCTCGGAGTGGCTCTTTGAGGGCTTCTATGATGAGTTCCTGCACTATGCCATGAATCTGAACAATCCTCTGGCTCCTGAAATATTGGACGATCACTTTGCTTGGTTCCTGAATCGCAACGAATCGAAGGACTTCGAGGGACCCTTCACTGTGCACACTGGAGTCGGTGACATCAAGGAGATGGGTGAAATCAAGTACTGGAAGGGCCAGAACCACACGGGCTGGTATGACGGTGAATGCGGAAGACTGAATGGCAGCACCTCTGATCTCTTCGTGCCCGATGAGCCGAAGGAGAAGGCTCTCACCATATTCATTCCGGACACCTGTAGAATCATCAATCTGGAGTATTCTGGCGTGAGCTACGAAATCGAGGGCATTCAGGGCTGGAAATATGAAGTAACCCCAAACACCTTCGACAATGGACAGCTGAATGGAAACATGAAGTGCTACTGTCCGGCTGACAGGTTTCCAGATGATTGTCCCGCCAGCGGAGCCACCTCTCTGGGACCCTGCGCTGATGGAGCTCCCATGTATCTCTCGGCTGATCACTTTATGTACGCCGACGAGAGCTATGCAAATACAATCACCGGCTTCGATCCGGACTACGAGAAGAACAATTTCTATATCATAATGGAGCGTAAAATGGGCGTTCCCCTGAAGGTCGTTGCCAATGTGATGATCACTTTGTTAATTGAGGAAGATACAAGCATCGAGTAAGTATTGAAATACATTTTTTTGTGGATCTTCTTTTGCTAATTACTTCCCTCATTTAACAGCATTCTAAAGGGCGTACCCAGCTTCTATGCCCCACTCTTCACCACATCCAGTCAGGCGCAAATAAACGCTGAACTTGCCGCCGAAGTAAAGGTAGGTGATCATTTCTCTACTGCAAAACACTTCTTATATTACCCACCATATATTTCCAGTTGGTGCTTAGTCTCCCCGCTATAGCGCGCTACACAGGAGTGGGTTTGCTCTGTGTCGGCTGCATCCTCCTTGTTATTGGAACTGTTTTGACTTGCATGCGGAAGTGGCGTGGACAAGCCGAGGCTGACAGACTGGCACTCAGAGATAATGAGGTGATTGATACCTGAACAGCAGTGGTACCTGGACCAGTAGAAATCAAGTACAATCTTGTAAAGTAAACACAACTTTGTGATCTTTAGATATTAAAGCAATTCTATTTATATAAATCTGATTTTTTTTCTAAAAAGTAAACACACAAAAAAGTGTGTATAAGACATTTTCTAAAATACAATTAAATATAAAGTATTTCTGCTCAATTTTATTAATTAAGAGAGCCTCTGGTAAAGGAAATATTCTATTCTAGAATTCAAGAACTCTCCAGACTGCGTTTGCTGTTCACCACTTGTTCACCACTCTCTCTCTCTCGGCTTTCATCGAAACTAGCGAAAGAAAGAGAAAGCAAAACTTTCCATGTTCTGCACTCTTTGATTGTTTTTGTTTCTGCTGACAGGAGAGCAGATATCGACTGAACAACGGATGTTCCCCGAAAGAGAAAAATGCGACGAAGACACCACCTTTACAGTAAACTCACTTTGGAATGGGGGTTTCTATCGCTGAGTGACTAATTTCACTCAAACCATTCTCAAAATACTTTTCTGATAATGTTTGCTTAGATATGTGGGTATTGTTAGAATTGTTACGCTGATTAATCAAAACCATAACACTGCCAGTAAACCGTAAATCGAAATCATAACCACTTAATTATAAATTAGCCATTTTTTTTACTCAGAGAGAGTCTAGTGGTGGTCGTTTCGGAATCTAATCTTATTCTCTACATAATCAACATGCCGATCATCTTAATCTCGTGTATTTTTGAGCCAAAATATATAAATATTGCCAAAAATGGTAGGTCTTTGTTCAGTTGCATTCAAACAGTCGCGATGTGCTGTAATTGTTGCAGTGTCCGCGCTCAGAAGATTTGGGTTTTTACCCTGGGAAGCCTGACACTTGTGCTGGGAATATTCTTAGTCGCCGGGTGGCCAAGTTTATCCCGTCGATGGATACTCGAAATGTTGCCGCTGGCTCCAGATTCCTTCATGTACAAGCGCTGGGTCGCCACACCTATGCAGTTGTATAGTTCGTACTATTTGTTCAACTGGACAAATCCAGAGGATCTGAACACGGAGGGAGTTAAGCCAAACTTTGAGCAATTGGGGCCGTATACGTTCAGTGACTACAAAGTGAAGGAGGACCTGGAGTGGGAGCAACCCAAGGTGACCTACTACGGACGACGCACTTGGCATTTTGTGGCCGATAAATCGAATGGGTCTCTCGAGGATGTGGTTGTCACCCCGGATTTTCCCGCTGTGGTGAGTGCAGTGCGAATAACATTGAGAGGAAAAGTAATGGCTCAATGCCGCCATCTGTCAAAGCACTAATCCCGTTTTCCGCTTTAGACAGCATCTTTTTTTTCGCGCAAGTACCGACGCGTATTGCGAAAGGTAATGAACTTTGCCCTCAATCGAGAGGGTGGCTCCACCTTCATAAGGCAAACAGCCAGAGAATGGCTCTTCGAAGGATACTACAACGAGCTCCTGGACTTTGTGGAGCAGCTGCATTCCCCGCTTCTGCCCGTTCCCAGCGGCAATTTCGGCTGGTTCTATGAGCGGAACCAATCCAAGACAGCCGAAGGAAATTTTACCATACACACGGGTCGTGGAGATCTTAGCCGAATGGGAGACCTACTGCTGTGGAAGGGCCAAAACCACACCGGCTACTATTCGGGCGAGTGCGGAAAGGTCAATGGCAGCACCGGGGAACTATGGTCTCCGGACCGACAGTGGGATAGGCCAACTTCTATTTTTATGCCCGATGCAGGACGCTTTCTAAATCTGTATCCCACGGAGAACATGACCATTGATGGCATCGATGCCTGGCGCTATGTCGCCACAGAACTAACCCTCGACAACGGACAGCTGTCCGCGGACACAAAATGTTTTTGCGTGGGCAAGCGGGAGTGTCCGCTCAACGGAGTGCTGGACTTTTCACCAGCCACCTATAATGGTCCATTCTATATGTCACATCCCCATTTCCACATGACGGATGGCATTTACAGGGAGAACACCACTGGACTGCAGCCAAATGCTCTGGAGCATTCCATGTATGTGATAATGGAGCCCACACTGGGAGCACCCGTAAAGCTAAGGGGACAGCTGATGATTAGTGTGCGAGTGGTGCGGGATGAGGCCATAGAGTAAGTGAAAAATTGTCCTCATTGTTTGCTGGTTGTAAATTATTGTTTGCCTTTCATAGTTTCTTCAAAGAGGTGGCATATGATCATTATGCACCGCTGTTTACACTGGTATTGCATGGCGAGATGGATGATAATTTGAAAGGTTTAGTTAGGGTAAGAAAACCTTACATAGAAACTTAAGCTGTAAATATTTTACCCTCTTGATTTTTAGCTTGCTTTGAATGTTCCACGAATTGGACAATACACGGGAATAGCTTTACTCCTCATAGGACTCATCATGGTAGCGGTGGGCGTGTACCTAACTAGGACTCACAAATGGCACAACGAACAAAAGCCAGCACCCATTGATAAAGTAAAAGTAGAGGACAAAAATGTCAACACCACTTGAGAGCACCGATAAGACTGTTTATGCCGTTTATTCGGCGTTAATCTCGCTAATCATAGAAAGTATTTAAAGCTATCACCCACTCGAAATTATTTAAAGGCAGTGAAGAGCCATAAAAAATTCAAATTAATTTCCCGTGAGGGGGGGGGTCTGGATTATCCAATTTCGTTCAGGTGTTGCCCAGCTGCAAGCATCTAGAATTACACAAAATTATGGCCTTTCAAATATGCTAAAATTTATTAATATGTTAATAATTGTTTTTTGTTGTTTCGTTCGTGATGTCCGTCCAAATTGTGACGGTGAGGGAGGAGGAGCCAGTGAGGGCCTTGAGCACGTAAGCTGCATACTTTACGGCGTACGAACTCTTTCACCAGTCGAAAGGCAAAACCAAAGGCAGAGGCAGAGGCACAGGCAGAGGCAAGGGCAACAAATACCGGACTGGAAATTTGAAAAATGCCAAAAGAATATTATGAGCGACTAATTTATATGCACCAAGCACGCAAACTTACGTTTTGCACACACATTGTTTGGCTCGGACGGTGGGAACTAAAGGAAAGGTGGAGCGGAGCGGATCGGAGCGGAGAGCTCAGGTTAAACAATGTATGAAAATATGAAAATTATATGACTCCCAGTATGTGTCGGCCATAACTTTAGTATAATCTCTTTTAGCGGCAGGGGGCGAAGCCACGAAGCAATAAAACACACAATATTGTTAAAGAAATTCCCAGAAAAATGTAAGCAAAGAGTATAATTTTCTAAAATATGTGAAAATGCTATAAATGCACACAAAATAATTGTTATCCATTAAATAAAGCATAATAAAATATGATTTGTATTAAATTTTAATTAAAAATGTCATTAAATCATGATTGAAACATCGAAAGAAATAATATTGCCTCAGAAAGTCAACAGCCAAGAAGTATTTGCCATTGAAAAAAAATGCATAAAAAAATTTACTTTATGTATACAGAAACATGCATATTTTAATATCAAAATTGAGTAAATAAAATGCCAACACACAACCTTGACAAATTGCCAAAGGCAGGACGAAATGAAACGGATGTCAACACACTAGTATTGACTTAAATTTATTTCACTGCCAGCTTCGTTTATCATTTCTCTTTTTTGTTTGTTAAATTATTATTAAGTTTCTGCACAACATTTTGAGACAACAATTGATTTATGGTCTAGCGCATGCTTTATTTATTAAATTATTTATTTACACACTAAATAATAGTTCCTGATGAAATTGTATTTATTTGAATGTTGACATCCAATGTGTGATAATAGTAATTCCCTTTGAATAATAATTCTTGTTACACAAACTTGAAGAAAGAGCTAATATTTCTGGCTGAATGGAGTCCGTTCTGGCCAGGGCTCAACATTTATTCTATTTTGGCATTTTCCTTTTTCCCGTCAAGGAACCACAGCAATGTGGAATTGTGAGAGGAATTTTTAATGAAATATTTAACAAACGCCCCCGAATAAAGCACCGAGAAATGGAGGAAAAAAACTTACCGTTTGGATAGGAGCCACATTGGCCTTTATGCCATGCCAACAACAACCGCATTTCATTTTACAGAATAGGTTGTCAAGGTACGCAGACTGACTGACATTTTTATACTTTTTTAATGCCTATACCTAGGCTTTTACAAGGGCTGAAAGTTTTAACTTTTTGTGTTCATTTGTGACACACTAAAATACATTCTTTTGGTCGTTGCTAAACATTTATTGACCGATAGATTTACATATATTTTTTAGGTACAGTAAATATGGCGATTAACCTCAATTATTCATTGGTTGGGAGTATATTTTATAATATTTATTATGTTCTAGTCTGCCTTAGGATAAAGCTAAGGTAAAAAGCAAATCGAATATCCATCATAAACGCTCTCTTGACATTTTTCTATATGACTTTGTCTGGTGCGGTTTTTTCTCTCTAACCATTAACAAGCAACAGATCGCGTCAGTGACCGACTTCATTATTTCGACAAAATCCCCAAAGCCAACAGAAAAAAAGTGTTTGAAAGCACAAATAGGTAGAGTGGGTCCTTGTGTATTTGGTTGCTTAGTGCCATTGTTGCCTGCTGTCCGGTTCCTTCGACTGCTGCCCGTTTGTGTCGCGAAAAACTTCGGTGTCCTAATCTGCTGCCTGACTTGCATACTAATTTGTTTGCTCTGTGGCGCCCACCCTCTAGTCCTCGTACACCTCTCCGGACACACTGGGCCAGGCAATGTTGGCCCCGGCCTTTATGGTATTTTTGGGATGCTGACAACCCGTAGATTATGTTGTTGGCTTTGGCTTTTGTGTGTTGTCCAAGTCTGAGTAGGTTTCGGGGCATGACTGTGAGTGTGTCCCAGTCTCACGTTGCCTCGGATCTGGTCTCTGGCGCTGGCTCTGAGTCCTGGTCATGTTGAGGTTCTGGTACTGCTTTTGGATCCCAACTCCATTGGCCTTGTTTGTTTATTTCTGTTGCCCGTCCATAAAACCCTGTTTAGCTGCTTAATTTTTTCCTTTGTCATGTTGACAGTCGTTCGGCTCAAGGACTTGTTTAGTGGAGCATGGGACAAAGATCCGCTTGTTAAGGTTCATTTTTCGCACAATTTAATGTTATTTAATTGGCATTTAAGTTAGTGAGAATGTTTGTGTTTCAGCTACAGATAAGGCGTTCGTGATATTGATGGCGAAGGTCAGCTTTTATCTTTATCGTCTGTGTGGGGCAGTCCTTGAACTTGGAATATTGCGCTTAAAGAAGTGAAACGGAAAAGTAAAGCAAAAGTAAGTAAAATAGAAACAAATACATGAAAACATAATATTTTCTATTTTCTAAATTTCGCTTTTAATTGTGCTGTCAATGTTCATTGAGTGTAAAAATATTCAAAAAAATTCGAAATATTTTCTACCTAATTTTTGCTGTAAGCCATTTATGTTAAACTTAATCGGAATATGTCCAAGTACTGGCCGCTAAATAAATCCGAATGCAATTAATAATTTGTGACATTTTAACTACAATGTTGAAACCGCAGTTTCGCCTCAACAATTCGCCTGCATTTTTTTTGCCACCCCGCCATTTTTTCGCTCTGTGAGAATTTATGCTGCAATTTTCTATGCCATGTGTAATGGATCTTTTTTTTTTTGCCATTTTGTTGGCAGCGAAAATTGCATTGGGCCTTTGGCGTTGGCTCGGACGTTACAAAGTTGACAGCATCAGAAGGGAAATCTGCACAAAAAAATGCTTAAATAAACACACAGCACTGCGCGCTAACTCCAAAACAACAGCCCCGAAATATGTTGCTGCAAAAATGTTTAAAAATTCAATTTAAAAAATCCTCGAACTGTTAGTGAGTCCCGTTTTTATTGTCCGTGTAGAGTGTTCATAAAAACAGGTTATGCCACGGAATGGTGGTGCGTGGGGCAGCCAAACAATATTTATGATTGTTATTTTCAGTATTCTCTCTCCATTCCCGCAGCTTTGGCAGTTTCCAAACAAGAAAATAATCACAGAAACTGATACAGAAACCATACATTTAGTGAGCTCAATCTTCTGGCTAATTGAAATTGTGAAACATTTCACAACATAAACTAATTTAATAATAATATTATGGTTGCTTTTTAGGAAAATGTGTAAATGGTAATTAAATAGTATTAATTTAAATTTTAAAAACTAATTATTGTGCAACGTTAAATTAATTTATAACGGTTTTTTGGGAAGCTATATTACGGCAGCTTTGAGTATGCTGCAATTAAAATTGCACCAAGACAACAGTCGTTGTTTTTGCGGAGAAGATTCAGCTGCAGCTCCGAGAGCATCATAATATGCATACGCCGGAGTGCCACACAATGCGAATCCCAATTTGTGTGCATGTCGTGCGTTTTAATTGCCGCTTCGTGCCTCAATGAAGTCTGCATTGAGTGCCCCGAATTGGCGTTTGCAGTGAGTGGAAAGCCACTGGCATAGCTAAGATATCATAAAGTGCTTTCAAGTTTCGATTGGAGCGCTGCACAAGTTATGGTGTTGAGCTTTAAGTCAGCCTTTAAGTTGTGGGTTCTGGCGAGAAGCCAGGGGCAGACCGTAAGTCCAAGATGCTGAAGCATATTTTGCTGTTGTGGCAAAAAAACAATCTGCCCGAGAATAGAAACATTAGAAGGGAGAACGCAGAGCATCGTTTGCCAGAGGAGTGAGTGTCCATAGCGGACGACGACTACATAACTTTGTATGGAGAGAGAAGGAGAGTTGGGAGCATCGTTGGGAGCAGCCTGCAAGTATGCATTACATTGTGTTTGGCATCGTGCTGTAGCATATGACTATGCATATTTGAAAGGCAATTTTCCCTAGTGTTCGGGTCATCGATGCAAATGCAATTTCATTCTGTTTACCAGACACTTTACACTGTCCTGTCCCTGTGGACGCAGATGGCTTTAATGATGGAACAATTTTGCATGCACATCTTTCCTTTTTATATCCGTTTTGCGGGGCACCTGCAGCCTAAGGATCTCCTCTGCCCGACCCGAAACATTTGTACCAGCCTCGTGTTAATGCACAGCTGTTGCAGTCCTGTCCCGTCCCGTCCCGTCCCGTCCAACATTGCAAATGTTTTCAATCAATTCAGTCGCAAATTTTTCACATCCGGATGCGTTTCCGCAAAAATGTATCGATCAACACTCAGAGTTTGGGTGGGCATTTAACAATTTTCGCACTTAAACCGCAGAAATTTTGTTAAATTTTCATTAAAAATACATGGCCTGGCAAGTGTGGCAGCTGTTCTGGCATCAAAATGTCACTTCGAGTCCCCCTCATGCAATGCTCCTGCATCCGCTTCGGTAGTCATGTGTGAAAAGGGATGTAAGGATGAAGCTGGCAATGGCCAGGGGAATGCTAATGGTATGGGGTATGGCATTCCCATTCCCCCAGCATGATAGTCCGCCGGAATATCCAAACACGTTACACCAATCTGCAATTATATATGTAAATATCCCACGTGTGCATGGCAGTCGCTTGAATGTGTAGACGGGAATGAGCTTAGGGTGGTGCCAAAAAGCGTTCCAAAACCTTAAATCCTACTGTTTATATGATGACAGAGATGCATGATGTATGGGAATAGGGATCAAAAATGTGGGCTGCGATTCCAACACAAAGCAAAAACGAGCAAACACAAACAGCAGAGCGTAAAGCAAAAACGGAGAAGAGTAAATTCCAAAAACGAAAGCAGAGCGCAAAGCAAGAACGACGGAGAACGAAATCAGACGAGAGCGAAGAGCAGATCGCGCGAGAGAGACGCCGTTAGAGTTTAAGTCCAGCCTCCCACCACCAAACAGTGCTTAGTGCTCCGAGAGAGACCAGACGACAAACGTAGCGACGTTGAAAAATCAATTTCTCGTACCATTTACTTTGTATTTAATCGCTTATTAAACTTAATTAAACCACATTTGTATCTATCTTGTGCGCGTGGCATACAAGTAAAATAAAACGCTTGCTCTCTTTTCTTTTTAAATACTACTCTTCTACTACTACTTCTACAATTATAAAACAAATACCATTTCAGCAGCAAAATTGTTGCCTTGTCGTAAATAATTCTTATTATGCTGAACACCATTTTGGCTCAAAATCAGTTGACTCACTTTGGAAGTGTTCGACCAATGCAAGACATTTATCAAACGCCCAAGAAGATAAAAAGAGAAATTAATTTCAAGTATTTCCTGCAGCGTACATTGTTTAAATATCGATAGATATAATCAACTATGAAATATGCTTCTATTCAAATGTCAATGTTACTGT